TGCACTTGCTGACAAATTATCACCATGACCCCCTTAGAACTTTGCATTCCCACATTCAATCTTAATTGCATGTATTCCTTCCTTTGACATCAATTCCCTTTAAGCCTAAGCACATCACTTCTCCCGTACACATGAACCTAATTAATATGCATAAAACTGGCTATATACAAAACATCCACAAGCAGAAACATGGAGAAAGATTAATAACTAATATAGAGAATATGAGGGGTTTTTTTTCATAAAAACAGTAAAGATCAAGGTGATAATTGGAAAATGTGGAGAGAACAAATTTTAAAACCCTCTATGGCCCTATCTATAAGACAAACTATGCTGATTCCAAAATATAACGCCCCCCCCCCAAAAAAATAGGGTAAATAAGTATTCATTGGCAAGCAGTCACGATTTAATGAGATTATTTACTAAGAACAATTCTTGGATTTTTACTTATGCAACACTATCTTATAGACCAAAGATGGGCAAACTTTTTCTGTAAAGGGCTAGATAATAACTATTTTAGCTTTTGCAGGTTATAAGGTTTCTTTTCCAACTACTTAGCTCTGTCATTGTAGCACAAAACAGCCATACACAATATGGAAATGAATGAGTCTGCCTGTGTTTTGATAAAACTTTATAGATGTTGGAATTTGAGTTTTATATAATTTTAATATCTCATATTATTCTTCATTTGATTTCTTTAATGATTTAAAAATCAATAGCTATATGATTTCACTCACATCTATAATAATAAAAGCATAATATGCTAATTAGACCAGATGTCCTTCTGGAAGTCCTTCCGGACAAAGCCGGGGCTGCGCGGGAAGCCTGGGTCCCGGGTGCCAGAGGGAAGCCAGTGCTGGCAGCTGGGGGAAGGAAGACCTACTCTTGCACAAATTTCATGCATTGGGCCTCTAGTGTGGTATACAAAACAAAAAGCAACAACCACATTGCCACAGAAGAGATAAAGTAGAAAATAAAATCTAATAAATAAGTAGCTAATAATATAAATATATAAGGATGAGTCTCATAAAATGAATGGAAGCATAGTTATCACCAAAAGAATTGTATAATAAATAAGAACCTAGTTTAATCTGTGCCAAATTTTTCCTATTCCACACTTGATCAATCATGGGAGAATATGAAGCCCATGATTCCCCAGACCTCACCTACTGGATGGTAAAAATGGGTCTGTTACTGTTGAGCCAAACTTACATGAGTCTCATTTTTAATGCAATCTTTTTCATGAGGTTTCTTGGATTCTCATTCAAATAAATTTCCAGTATGTCCATCCCACCAGCTCTTTAGATGTGACATGCTGGAATCCTGACACTAGAAAAAATAAATTTAAAAAGCAAACTTCTGAAATTGGTGGCAGAGATTTGAACTTAGGCTACCGAATCCAATTAGCTCTGAATTTGGGACTAATTATTATATTTCTTGATGCCATGAGGCAATAAGAGACCTTTAGAGCTTATACAGCTCAGCAGTTTTCAAGCTCTTCTTTAGCGAAGAAAGTTTTGTTTAAAATGTGGTTTAGTGCATTATTCTAGAACGTGAAACTGGAACAGCATAGCTGCTCCGTTGAAGAGGGGTCAGAGCCCCAGGAGCCCTGCCCACTCTGCTCCCCAGGGAGCCTCCACAGAACCCTAGGCCTTTGGGGAATACAGTCTGAAAACCATTGGACTTGTGCAGTCCTCTCATTTTACAAATGGGGAAGCTACTGAGATCATGAAAAATGGCCCTGCCAGCAGCCAGCAGTGCTGTTCCCAACTGAACATGATCAAATATAAGCCGTGCTTAGACAAGATCACACCGCTGCTGTTTGGAAAGACAGAGACAAGGCCATTCTGCAACCTCAACAATGACAAAACATACCCTCTTCTCACACGAGAGACTGCCATTTTCCCTTCCGGTAACTACTCCTAGCCCAGCTTAAATCCACTAGTCTCTTCGATAAAATGTGTTAAGACACCCAGCCACCTGACTGCTGCTTCTTGACATTATCCAATCCAGAAATGATCCTAATCCCCAATTCCTCCTTGGAATTATCCAGCATAAGCCTGAATCCTATAAGAGGGATTATCCCAGGCCCTCTCCGGTGCCTTCCCCTGGCTGCAGCAAGCTCAATAGCCTAAGTTTTTGTTTTCACTCCAGGTGTGTCCCTGATGGTCTTTGGCTTCAACACTACATTATTAGCATTCTAAGCAGCACCCTCGAGAAAAGCAGAGCAACACCAAGGATCAGTTGAGAGAATAGATAGCTGAGTTCCTACCGTGGTAAACAAACATGTTAGAAACAAACAGAATAATTCAGACCATTAACAAACCAAAGGCTGCTGACTCCTGCGTGCTCAGCAGTGGTGGCATGGGCAACATGAGCTACATTTGATGAAAACCCAGGGACCACTGCTTGACAGTGACTCTGAGGTTGAAAAAAGAACCACTACCATCTCTGTCCAGAATACACCACTCACAACATCTGACACAGCACCCAGAGTGGACGAAATCCCTCAGACATCGACCAGCCACCCAGAAAAGTCTGTCATTGTTGAACCCACATCCACTTCACAGAAATGCAAAGATTTGTAGATCATATAGTTGTACAAATAAAACATACTGTGATAAGCCTCTTTCTGGTTGGGACAGTAGCACAGAGCACACTCAGAATGGCCAAGGCTTCCCCAACACAGACAGGAAGTCATAGCAACGTCCATGCTGGTCCGAGATGGAGACTGATTTTCTCTGGGTCTTGCACATAGTGTGGATTCAATAAACATGTCTTCAATTGTATTTCACTGAGCAGAATCCTCCCTAAAGCAACCACAGTAGAGTTGAAACCAACCTTGCATTCTGTATACAGTGTCTGTGGATTAAGAGGGTAGGTTTTGCCCAGTCCTACTTTGCCAATGGTATCACTATTCACGAACAATACGATTTATTTTAATCTTTGATTTCTTCATGCACGAGCAATAATAAGGTCTGAAGATGTGAGAGAGAGAGAGGGGCTAAAGGCAGTAACTAAATTGGGGAAAGCTCTGGAAGTCAAGAAATGTTTCAAATCCCAGCACAGGCCCAAGACCTCATGGCAAGCCTGTAGTCACCACCTCAGATCCTCAACTAGTTCCCTTACTTGTTCACTGAGAGACTGGAGGTGTGACCCCAATGAAGTCCCTTCTAGTCCAACAGCCTAAGTACATGCCTCTGAACATTGAATGTATTTCTTAAAACCAAATTCCCTAAACAAAGCTGCCTCTTTGGGTCCTGTTTAGACATTACCAGGTTCCAGCCCCTCTGTGATTGCTGTTCTTCCCAGGATGCCATTTGCTGGGAGTCTCTGCTCATCCATACCTCAAGGCCAGGACTAATGCCATCTCCTCTCTCTCTCTCATTGAATGCCTCCTCCCCACAGAAAAATCAACTGCTCTCTTAGGTTATCAAAATACCTTATACATTCATTGGACTAGAGTTACATATGTTTTGTCATCTCCATGACCAGGCTATTTTTTTTAGTAGACTGCCATATTCATCTTCAATCTCCAGATATATAGAAAGGAATTTTGTAAACATTCTATGTGTTAGATCAAATTGCTTTGACTTAACATTGAACCTCATCCTCCCCTTCAAGGAAACAGAGAGTGAAATGTGTATAAAAACGTTCATATACTGCTATTTCAACCCTCAGGTTGGTGCTTTTGTACTTCCCAGCTGGCCACCCCATCCCATCCCAGCAAAAAGAATCTAAAAACAACCTCCAAACTCCCCCAAATTTAGGTTGGGCTTCCCAGGCGATTGAAAGGCTGTTCAGTCTGAAATATGTAGGATGACTTTCACACAATAAGGTTCTCCTCTAGACACCTTAAAAGAGAAAAACACCTCGGATCTAAACTCATTGCAAACAGCCAATGCTATTCAATGAGTTTGCACCTCCTCTGCCATCCTCATAGCAATACATGCTTCCCAGAATGTGAAGCCTGTGTACTCTGGCTACTAGTTAGATCCCAGCAAAGTCTGTCTCCTCCAACTTCACTTTGACTAAAAGAGAGTCTGTTTCCAAAGAGACAGTTTACCTTGAAATGTAGTGATGACATCATGAAGTTTTAGCCACTTGTCCCTGATAACCACCCTTCCCCACATCTCACCCTGTAAAGTGTCTGTGCAACTGCTCAAATGATGTTAAAGGAATGTATTCCCCAACCCTAACTAGACACCACCCATGTGAGGCCAGCCTACTCCCATGGGGTTATATCCTGCAGCCCCATAGCCTGTGTTTGCAAGCTGCAACTGATTTTCCAAGCAGAAGCACAACCAATAAGGCACACTATTAGTTTAGCCAGGCATATGTTAGAAGCCAATGAATGTTCTCCCTAAGATATCTTCTTGAAACTTCTAATAAAGTGCTTAAAATTTAGTGATATAGTTTAATCGTTTTATCCATCTATCTCACCCACAGCGAGAACTCCAGAAGGGCAGGGAGTCAATTCACACAATAAACATGTACGTTTGTATCCCAAGTGGCCGGCACGGTTCCCAGCATATCACAGGGGCTCCACTAGTAAGTGGCTGCATCTGTGCACCTGTCTTCAGCCATCCTGCGGATGGTCCAGGAGACAGAGGGCTCAGTCCCTGCACTGGAAGAGCTGATTGAGATTCAGTGAATCCCAGAGGCCAGAGTTCTACATTTATTTATTTCTAAAGCCCTGGTGCCTTGCACAGACAAACATTCAAAAAATCTGCTCAAATGAAAATTTATTTGCTCAAAAGGAAGCCGTGAAGTATCAAGTGAGGATTGCCATCTGGCACACTAATATGAGTAAAGCTGCTCTAATACCACCAACGATCACCAAGTCTCATTGTGGTGAGAATGGTCTGATTGTCAAGTCCAGGAGATATTTTCACTCTGTAAACGTCTTGACTTCTGGGAACCATTCTCTGGTGCTCTTATCCCTTTGGCCTCTGTGACCCCCTCCCCGCTCCAATTTTCTACTTACCTCTCTATTTCTCAAGTCTGCAGGTGGCACCTCTCTCTTCCTCTGATCTTCAAATGATTGATTTCCTCTATGAGGCTCTCTAATTTTTTTATTCTTTGATCTCTCTCTGGAAGAATTCCTATAAATTCAAATACATGTATTTGATTACTTTTTATTTATTATTCATCCTCAAATCCACATTTCTAGGCCAGACCATTCTTCTGAGCTTTGATATCCAACTACCTCCTGGATATCTACACTAGCTCATCTTATAGGCAATTTAAAAGCCTTGCTCCTCTTCTCCCCCTTTATCCTTTCCTTTATTCCAGTGGTTCTCAACCTTCTGGCCCTTTAAATACAGTTCCTAATGTTGTGACCCAACCATAAAATTATTTTCATTGCTACTTCATAACTGTAATGTTGCTACTGTTATGAATCATAATGTAAATATCTGATATGCAGGATGGTCTTAGGCGACCCCTGTGAAAGGGTCGTTCGACCGCAAAAGGGGTCTCGGCCCACCGGTTGAGAACCGCTGCTTTATTCCCATGTCAAGGCTGTTCTTTCACCTATTTTTCACATCTTGTCTTGGTGAACTGTCCACCACCCCCCACACCACCACAGCAGCAGAAATCTCAGAATCATTCTAATCTCCTCCCTCATTATCTTCTTTCAGAAAATGAGTCACCAACTAGGTAGTTCTCAATTTCTCTCTTCCTTTCCATCCTTCCTGACACTCACATTCGTTTGGTTCTAATTAGAAATCATCCCCAGAGTGTTCTATCTGCTGTCATTCTCCTCCACCTTCAAACAATCTGCCACATCTGCTGGAAGACAGAGCTTCCTCAAATGCAATTCTAATGACATCATTCTCCACTTAAACAATCTTTTCAGCCATCAGCCGACACCACCCTACTGTCCCTGACATGAAGTGTGAACTCCCAAGCAGGGCATAGGTGGTCCCGACCTCATTTGCAGCACCCCCAGCCCCATGCTCCAACCAGGCAGGCTTATGGCCCCCCTCCCACTTGGTCAGTGCACCAGCTGTGCCCCTCGGCTCCTCTCTGCCTAACAGAACTTACGTTCTCCAAGCAAGCAATTCAAGCATGGCCTCCAGAAGGCTTTCTCTGTCCTGATCCTCCCGACTGTCTGAATTAGACACCCATGTTCTGTCACCCATTCTACACAAAGGGGTTCCATTCTGTGTGAGGCTACTCAGAGGTTCTCAATGCTAGCTGCATGCTAAACCTCACCCAAGCACCTGAGTGCCCAGAACTCAATCACACCGATTCTGACTTCAGTGATTAAATTGGTGATTGATTGCTCTAGGAATCAATATGATTCTCATGTGCCTTGGGCTTCGTGATTCTCAAAATTAATTATAAGGATCAATCACCTGGGGATCTTTTAAAAATGAAGATTCTGATTCGGCTAAGGTCTGAGATTCTGCATTGTTAATAAGCTCCCAGATGATGTCAATGCTACTAGTTCATAGATCACACTCGGAGTAGCCAGTGGCTAAATAAACTGACACTGGCTGGCCCATCTGCAGCCAATAAAGTTGTAAATAGCCAGAGCAACTACAAAAGGATTCCTCCTGTTACAGAAAACAGAGGTTGCTAAAATTCCTGACATAACCTGGTTCCAGAAATATTTATGAGTCTATGACAACTGCGAAACCATAGATTGTAGAAGCTATTGTCATCTAAAAGCATAAAGCCCAGAGAGGGGAAGTAACTTGCCCAGAATAACACAGAAAGTAAACAGCAGAACTGAGGTCCAAACTCAGGACACTTGATTCCTCAGTTGGTATACTGTTCAGTATATTCAGTGCCTGGGAGAGATGTTGAAGATTCCACCACACTAGGAAAGTAGCAACCAAGAGGCACACAATCAAGATTTACAGGACCCAGCCAAGCCCCTTGATAACAGAAATGGCTGGAGCAGTGTCTTCAAAAGAGATCCCAGCCAAAAGTTGTAGGTAGAAGGACAACGGGGAAGCTGGTCATTCAGTACAAGGTTGATGAATGTGTGTTGGTTTCCTAAATGAACTTCACCTTGCCCCAGGGTGGCAAATGACACTGAAAAAGTTGCACTGTGAAAATCTGGACTAATCTGATGTCTTTAAGCATTTTGAAGGCAGCAGGGATGTCTTATTCTTCTTAATTCCCCCAGCACCCAACACAATGCTTGATACCTTAAATTCACCGGATACCTGTTGAACAAAGTCTAACCAGAGAAAGTGCTGGCTTTCTTTACATAACACTTTATCTATATTGTGGCAGCCTCCTTCCTATAGGGTGAGATGATAACAGCTTGTTCCTGGGCTGCCCACTCTAGAGATTTCCTCAAGTTTCTGGGTGGAAGCTGGATGCTGGTAGAAGTGTGATTTAGTACATGAGTCGCCAGGCTCTTCACACATACAAATCCAAGATACAACGGTTATAGGCATAACCACAGTAGTGTTTGTACTTACTAGGGAATCAGGCAGAAGTCCACTGCATTCATTAAGTTGTGGGAGAAGGAGGGAGGAACTGAAGGGAGTGACCTTACTGGTTCCCTGGCCAGCAGAATGTTTGCCAAAAACAGGGGAATCACTGAATGATAAGTCATATTGCTTAAAGGTCAAATGCCTGGGCTTTGAGGTCAGATAGATCAGAGTTCAAGTGTCATCTCTACCACTTATCATTTTGGTCAAGTTATTTAACCTTACTAAATTTCAGCTTCCTCATCTATAGAATGGAAAAAATAAGTAACTTCCTATGAGAACTGCTGTAAGAATTAAATGAGATATGTGATTGTGTAGAGTACTTAACACAGTGTCTAGGATGCTGTAGATGTTAAATAACAGTTCAGCAATGGCAGCAAAGGAGAAAGCATTCAATGCCAGTTTGGGCTGCATGACTAATGATAGACCAAGGGTTGTGGCCACCGTCTGTGTGTGGTATGTGGGAACATGGGCCCCTTCCCAAGCTCCAACTCCCTCTCTCAGCCTGTGGGAATATGATGAAGGCATCTGTCAGTGGACTGACTGTGAGACCTTGGGAGCCTGGCCAGCTCCTTGGTGAAAGAATGGCCAAAGAGAAACTGCTTCTAGATATGAGCCTGGACGGGAAACAACTGCAGAGGAACAGCTAGCATTCTGATCTCACAGCTGGCACACTCGCACATCCCCTGCTTGCCCTGTTTGCTTTGTTTCCCTTACTCTACATAGCACTGTACTAGGAAGCCTGTGTTGCGGTAACTTTACTGGCTGGCCACCCCTGGTGTGCATGTAAGTCCTAATAAACCCATGTCTTTCACAACCGGTCCTCCTGGTTATTTCTTTGAAATCAGCAAGAATATGCTAAGGTTTTCTCAGACTTCAGCTCTTTGCATAACATCTATATGTAAGATTTCAATTTCTCGTGAGAGTATGCAAGGACTGGAAAAAGGGTCTTATTATTGTGTTTTTTTCCTTTTCCCTTTTTAATAAATTATTTATTTTTCATTCTAATTGTCTCAATCATATTCTGTTTTTCCTCCATTATTGGGCATGAAAGTGGGTAGGTGATAAATTTACTAAGTAGTTTAGGGATGGCAAATTTTTTCCATCTCAAATCAATGCTAATTGATTGGGGGCAACTGCCTGGACCACTGTATTAAGAAGGATGTTGATGCCAAGTCCAAGATTAGTGAAAAAGAGAGCTACAATTGATTAGTAGTATCTTCAATGAGTGTTTTTCATGCCTCCTTTTAACTCAGATGGCGGAATGGTGAATAATAACAGCTAAGTAGGGTCACAATGGAACTGGGGAAGTAGAAAGCAATGGTAGTCTGTAGGTAGAAAGAGACTGGTGAACACTCTTACACTGCCCTGAGACATCCTATATAATAAAAGCCTAATATGCTAAGTGTCTGGTCATCTGGTCGTACGTTCAACCAATCAAAGGGTAATATGCTAATGATATGCTAAGGCCGCTCAACTGCTCACTACGACATACACTGACCACCAGGGGGCAGATGCTCTGACTGGTAGGTTAGCTTGCTGCTGGGGTCTGGCCAATCGGACTGAGCAAGATGGGCCGGATACACCCTGGAGCCCTCCTGCGGTTCCTCCCAGCTGGCCAACCTCCTGGGTCCCTCCCCGCCCTGATTGTGCACTGGTGGGGTCCCTCAGCCTGGCCTGTGCCCTCTCACAATCTAGTACCCCTCAGGGGATGTCAGAGAGCCTGTTTTGGCCCAATCCCGCAGGCCAGGTCGAGGGACCCCACTGGTGCATGAATTCGTGCACCAGGCCTCTAGTCTTTTTATATAATCACTGTGCCAATTGCCCCTCCACATGCACTCTCCACCCTTCTCCACTGGCTCCCTGCCTGAAGGCTGATCTACATGCAGTATATAAATTGGGCTGTGAGCCCTCTGGCTCTGGTTGGTTTGGCCAGTGGAGACCCCCAAAAGGAGATATGAGTGAGGAAAGAGTGACAGCAAGGTCATTATTTCCCTGAATATCCCCCTGCAGGGTTGCTTCACGTTGTCCCTGATTAGAAGTCATTGATCCTCTCTAAGCAGTTGAGTCTATGATTCTCTCTTCTTCCAGGTTCCAAAAAACCATCCCTTCTTCCCATCCCTTTGGAACAAGAGGTGATAACAGCTCCAACACCACAAACTCTGGGGTACTGAACTATCTTTGTGGTTCTCTTCACCCACACTTTTAAAAATAGTCCCTTTATAAATGATCCTCATCAAATTATATTATTTTGAAAGTACCACCCATTTCCTGTGGGAACCTTGACTGAGATATTGGGCCTTTTTTGCTTCTCTGTTGGAAGTGAAGTGAGCATCCACAGACATGCATGGGGTAGAAGATGCTAGGTAGGATGTGTTTGAACATCTAGGAAGAAGGGTGTGTGTCTGGTGGCCAGAGATTATATTGACTAGAGATAATAATACAGATGCCCACCATACCCAATTCCCCATCTATCTTAAACTGTCCGCTATGATCTGGACCTTTCTCTCACAGATAGGTCCAAGCATTATCAATCTTAATTTGATCTGGTGAGACATGTCCTGGACTGTTCTATTTCCCTTGCTGGAAAACTAAAACTCTAAAATTTGTCATCTGGACGCTGATGAGAAAGAGGTACAGACATGCAGAGGGTGGCTGAGTCAGGTTATCAGCAGAGAACAAAGTGTCCCTGTCCTTCCAATCACCTGTCTTTCCCACCAAGCCTGCCCTTCCTGCAGCCAAGTCCTATAATTCTTCCTAGATCTCTACATTTATGGTCTTTATTTTAAAAAAGAAAAAAATGAAGACAGCCCTGCTTACCACCCCTTCAGTGAAATAAGAACCTACATTTCATGATTAGAAGTGCAAATAAAGTCAGGAGAGGACAAATGAACCTGCACATGTGACTTCTCCACCCTCAAGGTAAAGGAGCTCGTCCTTGAATGTCCCATCCAATGTTCTTGTGAATCATGCACTAGCCCAGGGGTCCTCAAACTACGGCCCGCGGGCCACATGCAAATACAAATATTGTATTTGTTCCCGTTTTGTTTTTTTACTTCAAAATAAGATATGTGCAGTGTGCATAGGAATTTGTTCATAGTTTTTTTTAAACTATAGTCCGGCCCTCCAACGGTCTGAGGGACAGTGAACTGGCCCCCTGTTTAAAAAGTTTGAGGACCCCTGCACTAGCCAATCACACCTGAAAACCCCCATCTAGATTAAGGTGATTCCGCTCCTTGGGAGGAAGGACACCCTTCAGAACCATTAGGCCTCCTCCCAGTGTCCAGCATCCAGATAGAAGGCCTCCATGACAAGCACAGGTTGGTGAAAAACTATAGTTCTGACTCCTACAGAAAAGAAGACAATAACACATCCAAAGATAAAAGGTAAAGCAGGATAAAAGGTAAACAGAAGAGAAGTTGTGAGAGACCAATCAAAACACTATTTAGGGGAGCAAAAAGGAGAGGAATTAGGGTTAAGGAGGGCTGCTGGCCTCTGCCCTTTGAGTGGAGAGAACAGTAAAGCTCACCAAACTCTATTTCAGCACAACTCTTTTTAAGCTGCTCCAACACTTTAATTCACTATCTTCAAGAGCCTTTTCATCTCTCAAGGTCCATATCTTCTGTGGAGGCTTCCCTGACCTCAAGCCTTCCTGCTCCCAGTCAAAATTAACTGTTCCTTTCTCTACTCTTCATGCATACTAACCCTCTCCTTAGCACTTTCTATTTGTAAGATATGAACACGTTTGCCTCCCTCAAGTGCTTTGTGAGCTTGCTGATGGCAGGGATCTATCTTCCTTGTTTCTGAATAAAAGCAGTCCCTGGATCATAGTAGAAGAATGTTAAATGTTCTGAGCTTGACAATGACAACGTTTGCTATCAATTGGAAATTGGACAGCCCCTTCCCACACCCCTCAGCCCCGGTCCCTCATCCCCCACCCCCACCGCATACCCACTTTTATTTAAAATAAAGTCAGTATTCTATTTTTAATTGATGAGAGAGAGAAAGAGAGAGAGAGAGAGAAACATCGACATGAGAGAGGAACATTGATTGGTTGCCTCCTGTACATGCCCCAACTGGGGATAGAACCCACAACCTAGATATGTGCCCTAACCAGTAATTGAACTACCACCTTTCAGTGTACAGGAAGATGCTCCAACCAACTGAGCCACACCGGCCATGGTCATACTCACCTTTTCCCAGGTATGGTGTTGGTGGGAAAGTAAGGGACTCTTCAATGCACATAGAGCTGACTTTCAACCTCTTAGCCTGGGTTCCCATGAAAAGTGGAGCCTGATACAAGAGCTTCCTGAGAACAGAAGTGGGGTTGGAGGAGCTTAGAAAAGTAAAACAGGGAAGGAGAAAAAGTCAAAATAAGGTGTTATCAAACTAGTCCCTTCTTGGGCAACTGGGGTTCTCTCCCACTGGGGATACCCTGAAAAGCCATATAGAAAGTATTTCAAAATTGTCCCCCCAAGGGAAAGAAAATGGGAGAATTTACTCATTGTTAGGCAAATGGTTTCTGGTGCTCAACATGACAGATGCCATCGTAAGAAGTAAGTTGCTCTCAGTGACTACCAGGTCAGCCCGGAAGGGGTGGGTTGTGTCATCTGAAAGGAAAGTACTTCCACAGATAAGTAGGCCCATTAAGCTGTTTACTGCTTTGGAACATACACCTCTTAACCAGCACATGCCACTTGGCTATAAGCCACCTGTATTCCTGGAGGCTGGATATATATCACGCCCCCAGCTTTCAGGTGTGGAGATCCACAGCCTTGCTGTCATTCAGAACTCTGCTTCTGTCCATAAATTCCCTAATAAACTGGACTTGTCAGCCTCTTTCTTCGGTTTCTCCATCCTGTCCTCCTTTGGAGGTTGGTTCTAGTACACCCACTGGTCAAGGGTTACCTATGGGATCTTACCTTCCTCATACTTTTAGGTGTGTGGCTATGTCGGATTGAGCAAATTTGCAGGTGTCCACGTGATGGTAGCAGAGATGCCCCAGGCCTGGCCTGTGCCCTCTCACAATCTGGGACCCCTCGGGGGACAGAAAGCCGGTGACAAATAGTGTAGTTGAGGTGAGGTGGGGTCAGGTACACCTGAGCACAGCTGACTGCCACAGCAACAACTAGAAGGAGAGAGGTGAGCAAAGTGGATGTGAGGCAGGGCCCAAGAGGTGTCAGATACACACAACTTATGGTCATTTTTATTGGCCCATTGAGTTTTATGTACCTTAGAGAGTAAATCTCACTAATTCTAGCATTAATCATCCTTAAATTGTTAGCAAAAAGAAAGTGTTGGGGTATATAACTAGAATTTTCTCAAGCTTCCCCAGGCTATGGATACAGTCATAATACATACCCAAACTTCAATGGCTCTAACCCTCTAGCTTCTGACTAGCTCTAGCTTCCAGCTCTAGTCCTGGAACATCCTGCAGACTCCTCCCAGCTGTATCTCCAAGCCTCACATATACTTAGAAATCAATCTGTCACATGTGGTCACCATGTGGCGCCACCATGTTCTTCTGCTCCAGACCCCCTTTTGGATGCAGTATGGTAAATGGGAACATGGGCCCCTTCCCATGCTCCAACCCCCGCTCCCACCCTGTGGGACATATAGTGCAGGCCATCTGTAAGTGGACCGTGAGACCCTGGGAACCGGGCCAGCAACTGGGTCTAAGAAAGGCCAAAGAGCCTGATTGTAAACAGCTAGTGTTTTAATCTCACACCGTTTGCCCAGAGGCCCGTCATCCTCCCCCTGCATGACCTGTTTTGTTTGTTTTCTGTTCTCTATAAAACCTTGTGCTGGGAATGTCTAGTTGGCGGCAAAACAACAGCACCAGCCGGCTGCCCCCTCTTGTCCACAGGCTGGATGGGACTTAGTGGGGCAGCTTCACCGGCTGGCCGCCACCAGTGCACACATATATCCTAATAGACCAATATCTTTCACAGCCAGTCCTCCAGGTTATTTCTTTGGAATCCACAAACAACATGCTCAGGTTTTCTGGGACCTCAGCGCTTAGCATAACATATGTCGTGCCTGCAGCTCCTCCCGGTACCTCTGCTGCCCGTGCCCCCCATGAGACCGCACTGACAGTGTTACCTTCCTTGCTCCACAGTCCCCAATCCCTCCAGATGCCAAGATGACACATTTCTTTTCATCCTCCTATGCCAGAGCCACACTGTGGCTCATACAGAGGTGGGAAGATGCTCCTTTCTCCCCAGGACACATTTTGAGCCAGAAGAGTACAGTGCTGCCTCAGACCCAGCCACTCAGTCACTGACGAGCTGCCCCGGCTTCAGCTCTAGTCCTAGGAATGATCCTCCTCTCTCCCTTGTCCTCTCTCCCCACCCTCCACCACCACCACACCTCACAAACCATGGCCTACTCTCTCCTTCAGCCAAAATATATGCCTGCAGGCAAATAAACTCAAAAACGCCAGCAGCTTTCAGCCCAACTCAGCAGTACACTGAGCATGGCCAGGCAGGCCTCGACTCCGGCAGTGCCCACAGCCGTGGCACAGGTCATAGCCTCACTATCACAGCAGTTATTTGAAATCTTCTATATGCAGGTGATTCTGTGTACTGAGGCTCAGAACAGAACGGATGCAAACAGTTTGGCACCAAAACCCCCAAGAGTTTTGTAGGGTTGTTTATCTTATGCTACAAAATGAAATTCACCAGATAACCTAAATAGCATTTTATCCTGGCATTTTCTCACATCACTTCACAAAGAGAAACAAGGTGGGGTGGTTTTGTTTGTTTGTTTTTTGCCCTGGCCAGTATGGCTCAGTTGGTTGAACACTGTCCCATGCACCAAAAGGTCACCGATTCGATTCCAGACTGGGACATGCCCGGGTTACAGGCTCAATCCCCAGTAGGAGGCATACCAATGTTTTTCTCTCCCCCTCTCCCTTCCTCTCTCTCTAAAAAATGAATAAAAACATTTTTTAAAATGAGAGAGAAATAGTTGGTTTGTTTTTTTGACAAAGGTACCTAACTCCAGGTGACCTACCCATCAATATCCATGTGGTATGAGTGACCCTAGGGCACAAAAAGTGTCCCTGGATATATTTTTACATGACAAGTTTCCTAAGAGTGAACTTTAAGGACATGAAACATCAGTCCCTACTTGTAGCTATAGAAAAAAAAAAATATATATATAT